GTCGCCATACAAGGATATGTCGTCAGTGGTTGGTTGTTCGGGCGACTGCCACATGATCGACAGTCGAAAAACTCATCCGAGGAACCAACATTTAGGCATTCCTAACACAACATATCATAGCTGAATGTCTTTCGATATTGAAACTTCCGTAGAGAAGATCGATTTTAGCACAACAAACGAGGTCAAATTCTTTCACATATCGCAATAGAAAATCAAGTGTGGCACTCCAATGGAAACATCAAGACCAACCTTTCTCATTTTGAAAAAACTGGCGAAGGTGAATGACAACATTTTCTCATGATCAAACAATATCCACTTCTTTCCGCTTTTTTACGATTAATAAGGAAGAATTTCTAGTTCTGTCACAAAGCGAACCAGAGATGATGCGATAGGAATAGAAAGATCTGGGGAAAATCCCTATTTCTGTTAATTTGTAAAGCTTGTCTATTTTCCTTTCTCTACCCACAGACAGACATCATACGCATTCTCAAAAGCCAATAACGAAGTAGATGGACATACTTTGTACGAAGAAGATAAAATGACTTTATGACGTCACAGTGCCTAAAAGCCCTCGAAACATAGCCAGGCAGTAATATCGGTAAAGGTGGCACAAGTTAGTGTCTTGCTGCTTACCAAGTGTTGTTTCTCTTCAGCAGGTTTACGAAACCTACATAAGTTTGCGGAGCAAGATCAATAGACGGTTTTGCTCCAACTAGGACAATGTCATGCATAGTGCACAATGAGTTCTGTGTGCTGCTTATCATTGCTTGGTTGTACACTAGAAACCGCGTTTTCTCGATCCGCTGAAATCCAAAAATGCACTCGTGGGATGTAGCTAGGATAATATCAGGATGGTGCAAGGCATCATGTGCCCGTGTCAAGTGCGGATATACAGCCAGCCTCGCCATCCGAACCAGAATAGTCCATCCAAACACCACAAGGTGCTGCATCCATTCATTGATCGCTATTTTGCTCATAGGCCTTCCAAGACGATGGAGCGAAGAATGGGATGATTGGAGTCTAACGAATGGGGTGATGTAAGGATATTAGGCTCAGTGCTTATGAAGGAAGCATTGCAATTTAGGATCATTCCAGATAGGGTTGAATTGGTTCACCCAGGTACAGCTCTTACCAAATTCCGTGACTGGTGACTCAGATGCCTCCAACTGCACAATGACAGCTGGTAGAACCTGCGGTCATCTGTGACCGTAGTTGATCGTGGCAAGGAGTGGCTCACAAACATTTGACAAGGCTGAACCGTAGAGTATACACACAGGTATGCACACAAGATCTCCAATCAATGTTGAAATAAACCAGTAAGAAAATTTCGAAAATGTCCTGCGTGCCCGTGCAAATATTCTGCAGACAATTTGGCCGGAAACTTAATGGGTTCAAGAGAATTCAGATGGTCAATCCTCCACAGTGTCATTTGTAAACTGTGTTCGTCTCTATGAGTTATTAAATACCATGACCATTTTTAGGGGAGTAAAGCTGCTGGATATCAGCTCTGGTTCATTTCCTTTCATCTGTTTTTTTAGGTCGCATTTGCAGCAACTCTGACGTGATGTTGCCTGCTTTGATGCACATAAGAGTTTCTATTAATTATTTATCAATCATTCAATTTGTTTAGGCACGTCTCGAGTAGGTTCCACGTTAGCATTCACACCGCTCCCTGCTATGCCACGGCCTCTTCGTAGCTTTGTACTCTCCACAGATAACTGGGCTGTTTGAGACATCCTTGCCAGCTAGCAATGCAGTCACGGGAGACATGTTGCTCAGATCTTACTAATGTCTCTCCCATTTGTTCTACGGACCTACTCATAAATGTGTGCTAAAAATAACTCCTGCTTGATTGTTTTTCAGGGAGATGAATGGCTTTTTAGGGTAAAATTGGAAATAAAAGACCATGTAGCTATCGCAGTAATACTTGGCCGTCCCGTATCCACTCCACTACAGCCGAAACTGAAACAGTTAGAACGACTTTGAAGCTTTATGTGAAGAAGTATGGCTTAACAGTCGATTGTTTTTTTCTGATTTTAAATCGGGTAATGGCTGATCTGTGATGCGAGTCTGGCATTTCGCTTGCAGAAGTTTCGTCACAGTACGAAGAGGCATCGTCACCGAATGTTTGGATGGGTATTCCTCTGCTGTATTCCTCTAAAATTTGTGCTGTCTTTCGGTCCGATACGCTTGCGTTCGGTTTTTTCTCCAGATATCATTTCAGTATCTCTGTCCCTTGACTACTGAACTACCGAAACGAAGATAGCCAACGAGCCACTCGGGTGCAATGCAATAAAGATTCTAGACCGACAAATCAAATGACATCCAAGCCAAACTTATAAAAATCAGTCGTGTCGGATGCATCAAACACAGCTCAAAAACTAATTTTGAAAGAAACACCCAGCCAGTTATGCCCTGACGATTTCTCCTGTGGTAACAAAACATTTGCAAACAATTTGCCGAGATCCGCAAAAAGATTAACTACCACGCGGCCGACAGCTAACAACCCTCCTCCCACACACTTCCTCAATGCTTAGACGTACTAATATGGATTGTTTGGTTGACTTAGCTTTGTCTAGTGATGTTAGAAACTTGGATAAGTTCTTGAGTGGGATCTGCCGGTGGGTAACCCTTCACTAGCTTGTTTGTAAAAAAACATCTCAATACACGACCAGGAAAGAATATATCGTGTAGATATGGTAAACCAAATACGCACAGCTCTTGCACGTTCACAAGACACATTTGTATTTTTTGAATCACAAACAACGTGGCAGCGACTAGCAAATAATCTAGATCTCGACGAAAAACGTGGGATGCTTTAGAAGAGCTAAGATCATGTGACGCTGTTCACTCCACGCCTTCAAAACAATATTGATTCATGTGTGAGCCTGTGAGAACTTCTGCAGATGAAGGTCATCAAAGTGGACCACAACGGATCCAATACTCATTATTTTAGATGTCAGCATTGGACCAAATAAGACTGGAGCTAAAACCTCCATCTAGAAGTTTGTAGCCCGTTGAAAAACGAACCATCATAAGGCGAAGAATGCTTTAGGTAGCCCGTTGAAAAACGAACCATCATAAGGTGAAGAATGCTTTATGCACATTTTTGTCCGGATAAAACACATTTTTAGTAATTGAGCTGCATTGCCTTTAAAATCAATCTAGTGTCGTCTACAAAGGCTTGTTCTTTCAATCGGGTTATGCTTTCGTCACATTTAACCGACCGACGTAACGCGGTGCTCTGGTGCAATTCGCTAGTGAAAATTTAATTTGATAAGGTTTAGCTGTACCCCAAAGATTGAGTGAGGAATGAAACATTTGGATAGCCTCTAGATCAAGCCAGAAATGAAAAATCAGTCTTCATCAACCGTGTGTTACATTCCATCTTATAGCAATTTTTCACCGCCACCGTGACTGAATGAGGTTCAGTCAGGTATCAGTTTGCAACAGACTGAATGCGCTGACTTGCTAGTGGTTACATTGTAATGTCTATTTTTATGGCATTTTGTATCTTTTAAGTTAAGCCGGTTTATTGCATACACCCATGGATTGAAAATGACTTGTAATTTTTTTGAAAAAATTAGACCCATCTCCCGGGCATAAAAATCAAAAGGATGCCTTTATGCAACCGTCAACATGGAACCAATGCATAATGCTTATGCTGATTGAACTTTGTTTTCGCTCATAATTTTTCGATCTACCACTTTACGTGAGGGAAATTTCAGCTTTCACCAAACGTGTCAAATGAACAAATGTGTTTTTAATAAAGATAGCTCTGTGCAGGTTGTCAGTGAGTTTAACTTTGCCACAGCTTCTCTCTCTCTGTGAGAGGAGAACTATTAGGACCTTTACCCTTCTGAAGGTTTCGGTTTAAAGAAAACAATGCTCTTGCGCTAATAGAAGTGACCCTTGTGGCACACAGCATAGGTTTTCGTTCGTGTAGGTTCTACATTGTGATTGACTATTCTGAAGTCTATAGAATGGCAGCCCCATGAAGAACCTGATTTCAGCAAACAAACTGACTGAAAATGCTCGACTTTAGCAAATACAACTGAGTGTGAAGTACTGACCCCTCAAAGAACTTTCTTATTGGTGAAAGTATGTCCAAATATAGGCACGTTGTTCTCTGTGGAACTGGCAAAACTAACCTTGTAGCCATGTCGTAACTATTAGCTGATCTCAAAAGACGTAAGTCAGAAACACAACTAACCGTAGGATGGGCACACCCACTGACTCTAATGAGGCCATTACTTATTCACGCGTCCATCACTGTTGTCTTGTTAGTCTCCATTCATTCTTGGGTTGAACGTCTGTGGGTACCCTGTCTTCGTGGTTTGACAAGTGGCCATGAAGTTTGGATATCGCAAGGCAAGGTTTGTTCTTGAGACACAAAGATGAATCAACCAGTTGACGTTTCAACCCGATTATTGTACAGGAAATCTCTGGGAAACTTATTCGCACACACACGAACAAACACATACACACACACTACTTACAACGGTTCATGGTAGAATGACCTTAACCTTATCTGGACAGAGAGTAAGACGAAAACCATTAGATGTGTAGTGCTCACTTCTGCAAAATTTTTGGCAAGCCCGAAGGGATACAAGAAACAGTCCAGCATGATAATAGAGACAAAGTTCGAATTCTTCAAGGTGTAGAAACCGTTTGAAACCATGGTATGGTTTTGTTCGTTAGTCACTAATGAATTAAAAACTACGGGATGATAATTCATCCAAAAACAGACTGAGTTTTTGAACGATTACGCTACAAAGTCGACGAGATTACTTAGCAAGGGAATACAGTTGAATACCATCAGTGGTTAATCGTGAACTATAAAAGCCACCGCTTTCTTGAAAAGAGAAAAAAGACTTGGTTTGTGAGAGCTGTTGCACTTCGATTTCAGTCAATTAGCCCAGCTCAATGAACCAACTGGATACTGCTTTTCGATAGGTTTCATCAAGAATACAGCAGACATTTTGAAGATGAGATCTTACCTGGTGAATTTCTTGCAAGCCTTCTGCGTCGCATATTCCCAACTGAGAATGTTCATACAGCAAGCTATGACAAATTTTCGTGTCCTGATCATTTAAAATGTTGTAGTACAGTGGTGTCAGGCCAACCTTGTCAATGGTGTTGGGCGATTGGCCAAAATCCAACAGGGTCTAATTGTGCGTGGTAAAACTGGAGTCCCACACTCACCTTAACGGCCTCATAGTTTCCCACAGCGGCTGCCTTATGTAACGGAGTCAGACCGAATTTCGAGAAGTAATCTCTTTGAGCTCCGCCTGCTACAAGAGCTGTAATCATTGCCTGTGGCTTATTCCGAGTGACAGCTATCGTCAGTGGAGTTTCTACAAAAATGTATTCCATTACGTCAATAGATTCAGTTACTCACCTCCGGTTTTTTGGCAATGAAAATTCGGATCAAAGCCTTTGGCCAGGATACTCGAAACCTTTTTGTGATCCCCACGTGTCACATAGCGAATAAACGACTTCTGCACATCCTTGATTGTCAATATAATGACGTTTCTTCCAAGTATGTCAGCAAATCTTACCTTTGAAAATTTGTCCATGAGTCCCATTGCACCGGCTTGCCTGATACGAGACTTAGGGATGAACTTTTCACTCCCATTAGCATCTGTTACAACATACTCAAACCTACTTCCAACTCAAGTTCTTCCTTGTCTCCACTATATTCGGAAAGTAGTCGCTCCTCTTCCAGAAACTTTCCCAATTTTCCACCACCACTTGGAAGATAGAAACCCATATTCAGGGAGTCAGGGATTTGTTTATCAAAGGCTTTCGACAGCTTGTTTTTTATATCCCATATCACTGCATCTCCAGTCACCTTGATAGTTGTCTAATCGGAGTGCGTAGTGAGAAGTGGTGGTCCGGAACTTACCGTCCTGCTGAGATGGGTCAGAAATATTTTCAGTACGATGGTACGCTGTGGAGCTTTCTCACTTCCAACTTCATTCACCGTCTGTGAACTGTGGGCGCTTTTATTCGAATCACTGTCCGTATTGTAGGATAGCGTAAACTTCTTCATGCCTGGAATTAGAACAAAAAATTCACGTCCTGGATCAATAGGCTCGTCAGAAGCCCCAGAAACCATCCAGCACCAAACCAGAAAAATGGAGAAATTTTGTGGGTCTATTTTGTTTGTATATTACTGTGACAAATTGGGTAGCGATGTTTTTAGCTACGATAATTTTATTCACTGACAATGACTACGTTAGAGTTGAAGGTTTGAAATTAGGGGGTAATATTTTGGTAATATTAGGGCAGGAACTTTTTAGTTTTGTAGATCTGCATCGCACAAACATCAAATAACTCGTTCATCTCACAAGATATTTCAAGTAATGTTTATCTACAAATTACGGTTGATTTCTTTTTAGTGATTCGTCCAGCAGCCACCAAGTACCTGGGACCTAACAGCAACTGTGAGTGATATGACGGAACCCCACCGTTGCTTTCACATGAATCTTTCTCCTATCGAGATGAAAAGTATGCGTTATTTTTTGATTAAAAATAAAGTGTGGTTTGGCAAGTGAGTGATGAGTCTGTGAGTGAGTCTGTGAAACTGACTTGAGCACAATTGCAAACTGATGGGGTGCAGAGCATGAAAATACTCTGCTAATCAGAAGTTACGGATCGAGGGAATCAATTTGAGTGCATTTTTGGAGGTATTAAAGAATTTTCAGCTTCCATTTAAGGTAGCAAATTAGTTTATGCACGGAAGCAGGAAAATGCTGTACAGTTGTTCCACTCACAACCATTTTGTAAGTGGAAACATCTGAGGATATTCGAACCTCCAGATAGAATTCTAAACGCTAGGGAGAGTTGCGACCACTAGATGGAACGCTAAAACAAAGAATTCAAAGGCTTGACACAGGATTAAGACAGATCACTAGTCAGTTCATGATCTAGTACTCTCGTATAAGGATTTTACTGTCAGTTTCACGGAGCCCACCTGCTGACTGTCTTAACTTGTTGCTTTTACGAATACTCCCACATTTTAACGGCGTTGACATCCCAAAGGATGTCAATCCCGTTCCGTTTGATCAGAAACAACGGTGGTCATCACAGAACCAAGAAAATAACATTCGAAGAATTGGTAACCGGAAGATATGGTGCATAAAAATGCTGGGATGTTAGGTTGACTAGGCAAATTAAAAGTGGTGTTACTAATTTTTTGTGCGTTACCCTCAAATAGGAATGCAGTAATGCTGAGCGCCTCTCCATGATACTGTTGTTTTATCTTAACATGCAGTCTTACCTAAATACATCACCTCAAAAACATTGTTGAATGATTTCTGAACGTTTAAATTGGTGAGGATGAGTTTCATGCTTAGCATCCAATTGCCTGAACAGTCCAAAGAGGAATTCGCTTCCGAACCAAGTCTGTAACTAACTGGAGTTTCTTATGGAAATGATATAGTAGCATACGTTTAGAAACGCCGAACTGTAACCCAAGAAAGCAAGTTATTTTAGTCTGCTCATCAGCAGCGCCATCCTTCCACTTTTCTGTTTACCACAATACATCACCTAACATCATTTTAACAAAATATAGGAAAAGCCTAGAAGCCAAATTACCCCCATAGTGGCAAGGAGGTGTCAAAAACGTTGATAAAGATGGCTATAACGGAAGCAATTTACATGTTACTCAAACACTGTATGTACCCTCGTATGCAACCGTTTCACTCTGGATAGAAATATCGTCATTCACCCTAGGATAATAGCTGCCCTGCTACCACCGTTCTTACTCTTTCTATCCACTGCCAGTAAACACCACTCTTGGGGCCACTAATTTTTCGTGACAAAATAGGTCAGCTTAGTGAGGCCATGTTCAACAAAGCAGTAGCCATCAGTTGGAAATCGACCCATTTACTGCAAATTTATGCAGTCATTTGGTTCCGAGTCTACATTTTTGATTCGTAGATAACTGGCAAGACAAATCATAAATTTTCCTCTTTTCAAGGGGGCGAATAATTGAAGAAGAAAAGAAATACAGATACAGCAAAACGGTGTCAGACTGGCTGTCGGAATGTATGCTGTCGATTAAAAAGTGGATCAAATATAAAAGCAAAAATTATCTTTGAAGAGCATATTCCTTATGTTCTACCAACACTCGAGTATGAACTCTGACCTGATTACAGACACCTTGGTAGAAGCTCGATGCATTCTATTCACCCCACCGTGTAAACTGTTTTCTCTAAGCTGTCTAGTTCATAACGATTCAGGGTAAATCTTTTCCATAAATTAGGTAGTAGGACAATTGGCTGTATGTCAACCAGTTTTCTAACGAAATTCACTAAATTGTTGTCTTGATTTTCGGGCTACCTCAGGAACACTGAGTGGCTTCGAGAGATTCGTCGTGAAATATTGATGTGAGGTTTGAAACTGCTTCAATGGCAGTTCACTTAGTATCGTCCTAAGACGGACGTCGGAACTCTGTGTGAGGCCATTAGGGAAAATTGCAATGAACTAAGAGAGAATGTTCATCGTAGCCAAGAATGTTAATTTTTCGAAGAAGTTGCTGGTCAACAGTGTGCTCCCAAGTAAGACCAACAATTCATGTAATGTTCATTGTCTGAGTTTTGTCTGGACCTTTTTTTCACAAACCTACTCAGGTCACTTTGGTATGACCTGGAATTTAAAGTGACTGTGGACCGGCAAAAATTCTGTGGCACGGTAAGAAGGCTCAGAAATTCCTTATTTGACTGACTGGCCGCAGAGTTGAAAGAAGCATTTACAAAAGATTGCGAGCAATTATTAAAGTCTATAAAAGGATGTGCAAATTATACAGATACTTGAAAAGTCCAGATTTGGCGAATATTTTAAATGAGGTCTTGCCGGTATTGTCTGAATAACCCTGGTCTGATAATAATTTCGGTCAGCTTACACCAAACAAAGGGGGACACAGATTCGCATTTTGTTATGAGTGAAGCTCATTAGCAGTGAATGTCAACGACCATAAACCCAACCTTGGAGTTCGACGTTTGAGACACGCTTATAACCACTAGTACATCAACACAGGCTAGATGTCATTAGGTTTTTACGACTGAGCCAGTGAAGGTATTCACGCTCGAACGACGTGACTCCACTGAATGACGTATGCCTAAACAGTGAAATCAGAATAGGCTTATAGGTTTGCTTTCGGTGCTATTCTGTATGTGACGGCAAAACTGTATGTGTACAAACCGTCAGGAATGGGCATTAAATTTTTTCACATGTTCTCTCATCACTACTTGGGAACTAAACCTCCGTAAGTTTTACTTTCAGTCACAGTGCAGCTGAATAGAAGTTTCACTTTTTAGCGCCATTCGTCGTGACAGATTTCCAGTTCTTGAACAAAACAGACCACTAGGTTATGTACCGGAAATACTAGACAGTGGAACAAATTTGATGTCATTTAGCCCGTGTGTAGAGATTTTCTTGTTCAGTATTCTCTCAGTAGAAAAGCGTTACCTTCGTGGACGGGTTTTCAGACTGCTTGAATGAAACCTTGAATTCAGGAAACCGTGGCTTTAACGATTCCACTGCATCACATAGATGCGATGGGTTGGAAATGCTGAATTTGTGGGTATGTCTGCTGTCGTGCGAGTACAAGCTGAAACATTTTTATTGCTGCGCTCTTTCCTCAAACAGAAACCGGGCGATAGTCACGGCAAACTGGATCATGCGATGTACATTTGATTCAGAATGTTGGCTTTGATCTAGATCGTGGTCATACACATTTCACATGTGACTGAGCACAAGTGAGTGTTTCGGCTGGGACGATAATGATTTAATGGACTTAGTAAAGAAATCCATGTCGTTTTCTACCCAAGCTGCACGTGCCAAGCTATCGTTTATGATCACCAGTTGAGATTAACAACACTGTGATTGTCTGTAAGAATACCACATTTCATTAATTGATCTTTATCGCCTACAAACCATGTGCAGTTTGTTTGGTGGTTTTTGGCGCCAAGAATCGTTTACCTAGCCTGTCGGAAATTGAGTTAAAATTACATAATGTAGGAGGTCGCCTAGTTCCACACCCCCACTTACAAAGGAGGGGGTACTGAAGAGGATCGCTAGTTAAGATAGGGAACCACATCATTTCTTGTCCACACCACCTAACTCAGATTTTTGCTTTCATGATTTCTTGCAGAATATAAATCATATAGGTAAGTGAAGAAACGGACCACAAGCAGTTTGAAGGCGTCAGTCTTCTAACCACTGAAAACACGCCATTGCCCGTCTATCGACAAAGCGGCGAATTCGAAGATTATATAGATCGGTACACGGTCTTGTACAGTCAGAACGCATGCTTTACTGGATTTGTTCCGAAAATTGGTCATAAACCCACTACGTTTGTTCTGTGAGCTTTTATCAAATTATGATTACTTCACCCTAATTGTGAACTAAACAAGTGAAATCTGGGAGTTGTGGCTCACCTGCAAGACTATAGGCAAAAAAATATTTACAACAACCGAAATCTCCCGCTCCTTCCTCGAGCGTCAGTCACAAATCTGGAGGGAAATCCTGAAAAAAAATCGGACAGGAAATTTAATGTGTTGTGTAGAGAATTATATTTTCTGAAACACTAACGGCCGTTTGAGAAACATTTAGTCTTCTTTTCTGATAATGTTTTGCTTGAAATAGAACATTACAGTGAATGGTCGATAAATGGTTTCTGTTTTACAAGAAGTAACATTTTATCATAAACAAGTATACCATTGTATGTTTTTCGGTAAAAGTTCAAAAATTTAATGTGTTGTGGCTTTTTTTCGGAGATGATAATCGTACGTGTCTAATCAGAAGAAAGTTTTGGTGACTCAAACAAACCACCGTTCGACTGTCACCGCTCCCTTTCAAGTGTATGAAGAAATAAAATGAAATACTTTTTCCGACAAAGCAATTATACCTATTGTTAATAACCTCTAGAATCCGATATCTCAAAAGAATACGAAGGGAATATCTAGGTTCCTCAAACAGCTGCTCAGTCCCATTCCCTTTCAAAAGAAGAAATGTCACCTATCTAGTTTTAGTAGACCCCTTTTA